TAGCGGCAGCAGGAGGAAGTCACCTGCTTGGCACAGTTCCTCATGCGTGGTAGCATGTAAATCTCTTCCAGCTCCTTCTGTCTCTCCTCCTCCTCCATCCTCCTCCTCTGTTCTTCGGGTATGATGTCATCCCAGCTCCGCTGACTTCGCTCAGAGTCGATATCCAGGTCTTCGTCATCCATCATGGAGAAGTTGGCGACCTGCGGACCAACGATCAGAGCTTAGCTCTCAGGAATGTGGAGGAGGTGTTCAGCGGCTCTCTGGAGGATCTCTGACCTTGAACTGAGACAGCAGCTCCTCTCCTACGGTGGACGGTCCCGGATCGTTCTCCCTGGTCTCGGCTCTTTTCAGGATCTCATCGATGTCCATCTCCTGAGACGCAGAACAGAGCAAAGCATTCACATCAGCAATCCCTCCTTCACTTCGGCCTCAGGCTCTTTATCAGTAGCTGATTCATTGCTATTTATTGATGCCTCTTCATCCATCACACCTCAGTGACCGACCTTCCTCTGCAGCTCTTTGAACCCAAGAGTTTGGCTCAAAGCAGAAGGAGGCTCCATGGCAGAGGTCACCAAGTTCTTTGGTTCCTCCAGAGTCCTCCTGCATGGAGCCTATGCTACCCTTCTTATATTACCTATATATATATACACCTTTCAAATATACTTCATCTAACTTTAACTAGTCACCCAACTACCCATGAACTGCAGGTACAGAGTAGTCAAAGCAGCCCAGAGCGGTTGGCGGTTTCAGAACAACGCTGGAGGTGAACCTGAAGCCATTTTAAGTCCAGCTTTGCCTTGTGAGCAGAACGATAGCTGAGCTGTTCCAACACCAACCTGAGGTTCCTGCTCTTCACCTTCTGGCTCTTTGAACAGCTCTTCAGCTCCAAACTTCAGGATGGCCGACAGTTCCTCTTTGCTGAACGGTGCAGAGCTGTGAGGAGGAGAAAACATGTTTTACTGCGTGACCCACACTTTGACCAGAGGCCGAACATCTCAGGATGTGGGCGGCTCTGCTTGCCTTGAGGGTGCAGCTCCCGTATGAAGGACAGTTTTTCCGGTGGTGTCCATCCTTTGAATGACCAGGTGGTCTAACACCATTTTCTTTTTGGCCCTCTCAATGATATCTTCTTCCACTGAGCTTTTTGTCACCAGGCGATAGATATTTACCTGCCAGATACAAACACACATCAGAGGAACAGTAACACACACAGAGATCTGATTGTTCCTTATGTTCCTAACAGAGCACTTCGCTCTCAATCTG